TCACGCCGTTGCTAGCAACGACAAAGAGCAACACGCAAGAGAAAGCAAGGTATCCGTACAATAACAAGCTCTTGTTCCGTAAATTTGCGGTATGTGTACAGCGTCGACGCCACGAATATAAACGCCTGACTTGGAAAACAGCAACATTAGAAAAGTTATAACCGTATCGTCTTACTCAAATATTACAAAAGCACATAGCTTAGTCACAAAGACAGAGTTTATCGAGGTTTTCCTTTCTTTTATAAATGTTCAACGACGTAAACGTAGGCGTTACAACTACAACATTTGCTGTAACCCCGACATATAGGAGCATTTAAAGTTACGTGGGCACTGGTTATCTTCGCTATTATCGCGTTTCTCAGGAACACAGATAAAGCTCTCCAATCCATCTTTTGATTATATTCGTTCTTATTTTTACCCTTCTTTTTCTTTTCTTTGTTATTTAAGTGTTAATTTACAATGCCTGAATAGCCAGAAAATTCTGCCTGCAATCCCATCTAGTAGCACTCGGTGTTGGGGGGTTATGCTCAATTGGCAAAAAACAACCTTGTTTCGTGGCTCTGAGGCCAGTACCCACTGTACCGTCCCATGTCTTTATATATAAATAAAAAAAGCAAGCTAAGAAAAAAGCAGGCCAGCTGGTACACACCTGCAGGAGCCCACTATAGCCACGGACGCCAACATAAGGAAGTACATTCAAGATGGTACACAAAATTGAAAAAAAAATTCTATATGGCTAGGACAGGCAAAATAACTTTTTAACTCCAGGAGAGTCAGTGAAACAGGAGGCCGTAAGCACGTCGACCGTACGTCGAACAGTCAATTCAGCCCAATGCGTTCGTTTAAAGGAATAAAAGGCTGTCAATATTTATAGAGCCATCCATGCCTCGATGCGCTGTTATTTTGACGTAGTCGTAGGTTGTAGGGCACGCAGAAAAATGACTCCTACTGAAGGGAAAAACGCTTTTGGCGCAGGGTCTTTTCAAGGATGGCGGGCAACGTAAACGAAAGCGAAGCTTCTGGAAACGGTTGGCTGGCTGCCGGTGAATCGACGACGATCGAATCTTTCCGAATTTCGACTCCGCTCGAAGAGCATTGAACAAGCGCGGCGGGGTTTCGTTTCTTCTTTTCTTTCAGCATGCGGAAGCTCGGGTCGGGTCAAGGTTGCCAACAGTACGCGAAATTCAGCAGATTCAAGGGATTTGTAGAGCGATCTTTAACATATGAGTCTGTACAAGTATCAAGTCTATTTTCATAATCAGAACGACGTACATCGCTTTAGCGGGACGCCTTATACATATTACGAAATTCCTTTACGTACAACTCTTTCAAGGCTCCATTTATTTATTGATTGAAAGACCCTGCGTACTGCAGCGGGATATGACTCCTTTTGAACCTGTGACGTCACATCGTGTTGAGACGTCATAATATTTAGGGTTGCAGTTCCCTGAATATGAGCCTCTTCCCTGCCAGAAAGTGATCGACAGTTACTCGATCAAGATGCCAGGCTGTCTGACTTACAGCCCTCTGAACTTCGGGGAGGAAACACAACTGCTCAATGTTGGACAAAATGCACTGATGCTGCTGGGCAAACTAACGTCAAAGAAAAAGAAGTATTGACATTTCAGCCACTAATATTGAGAAATGAACCAAACGTATACGTTTAAGTTGCCAAACTCTTAATATTCACTATGCATAAGCGTGAGATTAACGTTACGTCACCAACATCAGTGACTTAATGCCAATTTGACGTAGCTGAACTTTGTTCGCGGATCCTTTATGACCCACCGATCCTCTTGTAGACAATAAGGAGGATCTAACTGCTGTTCTAGAAAGCTGATAGAAACACCGTGCAACTCTTGACGGAGAAATGGCCTTAGCGTTTTAAACAGATATAAATTCCCAAGTTAGGTCAACTTTTTTTTTCGTCAAATGTACGTTTTCGCTACTAGATCTTCTGTAAGAAAGTGTAGACCAACGCTTTCTCCTTTACTTATCGACACTATTCCGCTAGGTATTAACTAGAAGAGAGAACTAATAAGAAAGTAACCGAGGTCACGGGGGACTTAATCTAGGGCACTTCGAGTGAAGACACCATAAAACGTTAATCCCGAAGGCTTCCGAAGCTTACCAGGCCATCAGCGGCAACGTATAACGTGATCCTGGCAGTACATACCCACCGAAAGTAAACACCACTCTGGTTGTAGCTCCTATGCTGACACGGCTTAACAACAGAGAACAACTGTGTTCACTGGTGGCCTCGAAGAAGACGCGAGTAAAAGTCACTATGGAGTTATAAAGCTGGGATCTTATGCGAGTCGTAAACTCTTTACGCGTCAATGAAGCTTATATTTCGTCCCAGGGAACGCGTAAGTCGAGCCCTTTGTTGAAAGCCTTCTCGGTGTTTTCGATGGACTCTTGAAGTACAAGGCTTTCACGGAGTGTGGAAACGGCATTTTGACTACAGAGCGCGGACAAAAAAAAAAAAAAGAACGGAGAAAGAACTGTTTCTTTCATACTTCAGAGGGAGTTGTCGTGATCTACCCGTACGCGTTGACACTGCGCTTATAATTACGCATTAATTAATTATTTGTAGGGTATACCTCCAATATGATTACAGGACACGCCGTGGTGGGGGACTGAAGGTTAAGGCTGATCGCCTTGCGTTATTTAACATGCACCTAAATCTAAAAGCTTCAATCTAAGAATCTAAAAAAAAAAATGTGGGCGTTTCTGCATTTTGCACCGCCGCTGGAAATCAAACCAGTGTTTTCGAGTGGAGGTCATATTCTGAGCGCTTCTTTAGGCATTTAATCTAACTGGTATATACATGCTTTACTTTCTAAGCGTAGAACTCTACGACTGGAGCAAGTTTTTCGCTGAAGCAAGATATACGACGCAAAAAATTAATTAAAAAATAAAATCAATAATTGTAGTTGTCTTAAGTGCACCGAAATAAAAAGCATTGATTGATGGGAGTTTACACCGACAATGAGTGTTGCTTTATGCACGTGTTCTTTGTTTCTTGGTTTGCTTGTTTTCGCGCCATATTTTTTGTTTCAACCAGTATGCACAAAATGGGTGAAGACAAATCATTGTTATTGGTCTATCGCTCTTTGTGAATATCTCTGGCACAAAAAAAAATGAATACGCAAGGAGCTTATAAATAACCTATGAACCGTCCTAGAGGAAACCGAGCTAAGCAATAAGTCAGACGTGTGCATGCAGGTACACTCTAAGTGATCTCTACATATATGTCAACTTTTGTGAGCGCAGATTTTGAAGTATACTCGTATTGACGCCAAGTTGCCTACCTTCCCGACGACTTCTTTTGGCGTGCATATAATTCATATATATGTGAATTTTGCACCGACAACACTCTACTGAAAGCAGTACCGCAACGTCGTATATTTGCAGATTATTTGTAGACGCTGCACAGGCTTATGACAGGACTTTTGCGGGTGGCCTGATGGTTCTTAAATATTTCTTTGTTTCTAGAAGAACTCCTCTGCCTCTCTCACAGGAATGAAGAAATACTACGTGGTTAAAGTGCATTCTTTGAACATTTTTCATCGTATGGAGCAAGAGCTGTCATCACGGCTATAAAAATAACTTTCGTCAGAGTGGCGGTTGCCTGCACTCTCAACTAATACATTATCTCTGGCGAAAGCTTCGAAAACATCACGGATAGCTTTTCTTTTAAATTAATATAAACAGTTAATATACTCTGCGTTAACTCTTCTGATTTTCTTTAGACTTTCACTTTCGTATGCGAAAAATCATTGCTGTTCACCTACAGTGACTATCATTCTATGGCGATCCCCATTGTCAACAAGAACACTCAAATCATTTGAATATTTTCTATTAATACCCAGGAGAAACTCAAGGAAGCTATCTATGGATTGTAAATACACATTATAATGGTCTTTAAGTTTATCGATCTGTAGACTTCACATGAGACATACTATCTATACGGTCATTAGATGAAGGCGTGTAGATGATCTATACGATTAAGAAGCTTCATGGTGTTTTTGTAAACGACCTATACCGGAGTTTGAAGGGTTGACCCCCCCCCCCCCCCTATTGCCATCGCGCGTAGAAATCTGAAAAAAAAAAAAACACTTTTTGTTACCTGACATATCAAGAGACCGGTATAGGACGAGTGATATTCTGTTTTTGAGCTTCTGCGCTACAGCCCGACGCTAAAAGCTTCAGAAAAAAGAAGAAAAACAGCAGGTGTAGCACGTGCTTTTAAAAGCCTAAGTACTGAAAAAAAACACAACTATGATCCGCGTTGTTAGAACACAAGTGTAGAGCGAACAACACATAATTCTTTCTAAACATAAAACCTTCCTAAAATACGTACAAATATTTTTGTGCCTACTAGGGGGCACTGATGTCGATCAATGCGAGGATTCTTAATGGAATGCTATAGGTTTCGGCGTAAGGGTTGTTTTTATCCCTCAGGGTCTTTAGGCGTAATCACAAAGTTCTTTAGCCATCTACCGGACAGAGTTGCAGGGTCAGAGAACGCAACTCAAACGGAAGCAACGTGGCAACTAATAAGTGAGCAACATTACTGCATATACGTCTTAACAGCCTATGCCACTAAAGTTAATGCCGTGTCACCGCTTAATTGTTGTAACTGCTGGCTTTAAAGGTTTAAGATCAGGTAAGTAGTAAACAGCAAAAGTAACGCTAAAAAAGGCCGATAAAGGAAGTAGGCAACAAAAGTACACCACGCCAAACGTTGAGGTAAAACGGACCCTTCGGTGCCTTCGTTTGCGCATGCCCGCTTAACAAATGTATATACGCTAGCAACGGTACAGCTGTGTCCAAGCTTTCTTGGTAAGCACGACAACAATCACTTCGCGTACGACCTGTATGTTTACTCTCACACGCCGGTCGAATGACGTTAAAAAAAAAAAAGCACAGTGCTAGTCACCGGGTGTGACAGGCGATAGGCATACCGAGATCAACACGAATATTACAGCCGGTCATACACATTCACAATTTCTTTCTTTGATTCAATGTGTTAAGTGCTTCACCTTCGCTTATTATACATAGACGACGAAGGAAGAGCCATACATGTTACAGGTCTATCGCCCGGTTACGTCACGAACAAAGACACTCGAAGACTCTTTTGTGTAAACGAGTTGGTTCGATGTCACGGTTGACGACGATGTCACGGTTAGTTGACGACACAGTGTCAGTACCGTGACACGACTCACACTGGCTGCCGAGGCCACGTCGAGAAAATGTTTCGTCCCAGGTGGCACAGCAGCGGCACGACTTCGAGATACGCGCACAACACATATGGACGCGCCGAGTTCTTTCTTTTTTCTTTTCTTTTGCGCAGCGCAGCAGCAGCAGCAGGAAAAGCAGGAAGGACAGTTGTCGCAAGGCACCGTCGAAGATTGCACTAAGGCAGCGCGAGCAAGCGTGGATACTATATGTAAAAACGGCGCTGGGTGTCACTGGGCCGCGCGGGCATCTCCGAGTGCCGTATATTTGCAACGATCATTGAATCGACTCGAGTGGATTTTACAGAATCGGTAATGCGATTCGAAGGACGTTGCTCGGCGAGTTACGTAATGGTTAGTAGCTTGGTGCACTCAACTCTCTGACTTTTTTTTTCTTTTCATTGCTTATGCAGCGCAAGTTGAAAGCTTCGATTCCGAAACTATAGCTCCCAAATCACGTGAGACGTTTAGAGGAGTACCGAAAGTGCATCAGTCGAAAAGCCGTCCCAGTCCTCCTCTAGGTGGAGAGCTGAATGAAGCCGCAAAGGCAAATTCGGAAATGAGGCTTCCTTTCTGACAGGTAGGCGGCTGCTGCGGTGGGTACTCTTATGGTAGTTTAAGGTAAAAACATGCATTTAGTCTCTCTTCCAGGAAACGAAACGTCGTGTACACTGTGATGGATCTCAGTAAACGTTCAGCAACCGAGCCATACTTTACGTGTGGAATATGTCATCTGCATATGAAATCTCGCTGTTTGTAATTGTGCGAAGCAAAAACGGACACGGTATAGGACGTCTTACCGCCAGGAAGGCCCTCATCTCATCGACTCAAATTTCAGCAGTTAAAGTAACTGCTTCAGTTCTGAAAAAAAAAATCAACTTCAAATGTCGACTGTAACCATCTAGTTTCCCCCTACGTGCGGTTGATAAAGACTGAGGCACAAATGCTAATTTTCGTTACCGCCCTTCGAGTCATTCGACATGTCACGCAGGAGACGATGTGTACGCATTTCCTTTTTTAAGTTTCCGTCAGCTACGCTTACGACGTAGCGAAGGGAAGCGCTTTTTTACAGTCGTCTCGGAACATGCGGAAGCTCTTGAAGTACGTCTCTTTAGTTGACCAACAAATTCTGGAAGACATCGTTATAGTAAACTTTGGGCATTGTCATGCTCACTAGGGAGGTTTCTTTTATAACGCATCCGTTGAGGGATGTTGTCGAGTGCTGTAACAGCGGTGTACCTCTTTCGGCTGGTCAGGCGTACAAAGCTACTCACTGAATTCTGAAGACACGGTCTGTTGCACCGCAACACTAGATGTACAAATACGTACGCATTTTTCTTGCCGTAAAGGCTTCATGGCTTATACCGTACGACATACACGGTACGCAACCAAATCAACCAAATAACTGTATGCGCGCAGTTCCCAAGAGAAGTTGTCCCGCGCAGCCCAGTGTGAACAGGTAAAGCGTTAGCTATTACAGTAGTGGTTTCGGCGCTAAAGAAAGAGTAAAAGGATCGCTCGGAGTCACGCAGGGGGACAGAACAAGCCGAACCGGAAGCCTATCTCAAACCGGCCAGCGTCGCGCGCCGCCGCCCCAATCGTGGCAACGACGCGCGGAACAGCGTAGTGCGGCTGAGGACGGGTCTTCGGCGGGGCCGACGGCTGTCGGTGGAAGCGACGGTTGCTGCTGCGGCTGCTGATGCGGCGTAGGCGGTGGCGGCGACGGCGACGACAACAGAGGCGACTGGTCGTCTTGATCCGCGTTGCTGGGCTCCTGTCGCCGCCAGGCAGGCGGCGGGCTCCACTGCCCTTCGTCGTGTCAGTTCTCGGTGGAGCCCGAGCGCGCCACCATGGGCGGCTGCAGGACTCCCAGCCTGCCGCCAGCTCCTCCCGTTCCGCCGCCTGCGGACAGGTTGACGGTGGACCAGCTCGGCCGGCTGCTCAGCGACGCCGCGTCGTCCGGGTGCAGATGCGTGTGGCGGGGCTGGTTCAGCAGCGGCTGCTGTTGCAGCGGTGGCGCTTGCAGCGGCTGTTGCTGCGGCCCCAGCACTGCGGCGCCGCACTCCGGCTGCGGCATCGAGCCCGGTGGGTAGGACTGGCTCGACGCCGGTGGCTGCGGCGCGGCAACGTAGTACGCGCCGCACGAGCGCGCCACGGCCTCCGGCAGCGCCTCGAGCTGCTCGTGGATAGCGGCGAGTCGCTCTTCGAGCGTCGCCAGCCGTTCGTCGAACAACTCCTGGCGCGCGTTCATGTCCGACACTATCTCGTACACCGAATTCTGGGTCTGTTGGCACAAGACACGTTCGCGAGGTCACCGCACAGCACCAAGCACCGGCATGCGTGTGTCCAGGATTCGTCATGGGAGCGTGTCGGATGAGTTAGTTGTTGGTCGCAGAGCGCCAACAAGCACCGGCATAGGGTAGACGATCCGTCGAGGATTCATTGTAGGCACGTTTCAGAGGAGTTGGCCGTAGAGCATCGAGGGGTACGACGAATCGAGATTCACCGTTGTTCACAGTAGGGCGAACACGAAGAGTAGTGTGGTGTCACCGTTGTATGGCCCAAGGATTTCGGTTGGTTGAATCAAGCAATCGTCCATTTTTTTTTTAGGTGGTAACAGGCCAGGTAGTCGTTGCAGTTGTTCCATGACAACATGTACAGGTTGGAAAGCGGTTTTTGTTCAAGGAAGGAGAGACGGGATCGATAAAGAGGTCAGTTTGGTTTTGTTGCGGGACAGAAAGGAGGTCAGGTCGCAAGGGTATCAAACAGATGGTCGGGAGGAGTGGGAGAGAAAGAGAAATCGATATTTAGTAAGAAAAAAAAAAACTATTTCAGGGTCTATTTCAGCAATAGATATATAGAAACCTTGCTGTTAGTTAGAAGCACCATTACGTAGTGAATACAACAGAACTTCCCGTACAAAAGCTTCTGTGCTAAGCTTCTGTGTACTTCTGTGACGGCAACGCAATGACTTCAGCATTCGAACAAGTCATTGTTATGGAAGTTTATTATTTCTTGAGATAAAAATTTTCGAAGACAAGTTGAAGATTTACGAGTTCATGATTGTGGACAAATAAGTATGGCTATGCTAATTAATGTAAGCTGACACGTTTAGCTTATATCATAAAGATTCTTTTCTCGACTAAAAAGTAAGTAATCAATGAAAAAATGCCACCAAAATGATTATTAGAGCCTAGTTATAGACGGTGCTCGGGAAGCATGTCTCACCTTTGCCATATCTGTAATTGTGTTTGCGTTGTCCATAAGCTTCCTTTGGTCCATTTTAACCTTTCTGAGACTGAGAAGAAGAAGAAAAGAAAGAGAACGTAAGTCGCGGTGGAGCCTTGTGTTTATCGTAGGCGTAAATGGGCACTTTGAAGTCTCAGTGCTCGCTTTTGCATACGACGTACTTAACTGATGATTACAAGTTTTGAAGGAAAACTTTAATGAGATGGCGCTGAAAACAAAGCAGCGTGCTCGCAAGTAAATATCCAGCTAATTTGCGAAATTATTCTCGGTGATACAATAATGTTATAAAGTACAACGGGAATTGAACGACGTAGGAAATTAATTACCAACATAAGTGTTATCATTTCGCAACACTGTATCAACACTTCAATCCATGTGCTTTCAGTAACATGCATTTAGACGACGCCATTATTAGCTAACATTACCTTCATTGATATAACTCCACACTACTATCCGACACTGAGAATACGCAAACTTTTAGCGTTTAAATGAAGTAAAATTGAATCAAGTCATTTGCTTTCAAATTGTATCGCAGGCACAGATGCAAGAAAAATGCGCTTGTTTAAAAAGAAAGTCGACCAAGCTCTCGCATTGGCCAGGGTGCATTATTATACAATGCATCACGACTATTCCGGAAATACAAAAGAGTATAAAACAAACACAAATCGGGGCAAGGGGTCCTGCATGCAATATGTACACAAACAATTGCGGTGATTGTACAGATCAGCCGTGGGGAACGATTTCGCTAACGTAAAACAAAGATGTCAAATTACTTAAAAATTACATAATGAAATCTAGGAGAAGCTCTACTAATCAACGTATACGCCGCCTATAGTCGGCGTCATAAGTTTACAGACCTCAAGGTACGAGTGAGTGAGTGAATGAAACAACTTGATTAGGTTCACAATAGACATGAGTTAACGCTCAACGCCTCCTGGCTAGGCCCACTCGGGGACGGTCAGGTTAAACCTGACCGCCCTGGCGCGGGCCCTGCGGAGAAAGTTTCAAATTTCCCAGCAATTTATTATTGTATTCGGCATAACTGCGAACACGTTGTTAGCAAGTTTTAAAGTGGGGCGAAAATCTGAAATTCAAGGCTACCTGCCAGAAGCGATGGGAATATTAAGCTTTTTCCTTGTATCTCGCGGTCCCTGAACATCTCATTCTGACTGTATACGTAACAACTGAAAACAAAGCAACGTCTGATGAGAAGGGAAGGGTGAAGGATCGTTCACACCGACGGCGGGACGGCCCAAGCGGCGCGGCGGCAACGAGGGAAGTGGGGAAAACCTCCTTTCCCGGCGGCGAAAGCGGGAGAAAAACCAGGCGGCAAGGGCGATCGCTCTCGGAGCAATTTTTTTGCCGCCTGCCAAGGCTCGCAACTTTGCCGTAGCCAATCAGAATGGCACGCAGCGGAGGCACGGTGGTGGCGCGTATGTACAAAAGCATTGCCATGTGATAGCGACACGTGCGCAAAAGCGCGAGATGCCCGCCTCTTCTGCCGCGCGGCCAGCCGAAAGAGGCATGCAGTCTGAACCAACGTACCAACTAGTAACGTTGGTCTGAACAGATTCAAGCACTCACCGCCTCTCCACTTCGCTCATTTTGCCGCGCCGCTTTCAGTGTGAATCGCAGATCACAGACGAAACGCAAATGAACGACTCTGCTGCACTCACCTGTAGATTGCGAGGAGGAATTTGCGCTGGTGCGCTCTCACTTTCGAAGGGTTCACACGTTTCACAAGCCTAGTGTTTTTGTAGATAAGCCACGTCTCTCGTAGGACGTTGGCCGCAGCGTTTTTCAACTGAAACAAAACCAAGAAGGAAAGAGTTACGACTGAAGAGGTGCACCATAAACTACTTTGCACCTTTAAGGGTACTTCGCGTGTCTGTGACTAAAACCCCACGACAAGGGTGTTTTGACAAACAAAAACACCCAGATGATGGGTGTTTTGGTGTTTCAAAACACTCATGACATAGGTGTTTCACTTTTCCGAAGCACCCTTACCGTAGAGGGTACAGTTATACACCCGGAAAGCACCCTTAATAGTGAAAACTGGTTTATACAATGTGCATATGGAGTGAAGCAGCGATTAGTTGACTCATTTGATTGCTTACCTTTAACTTTGTGCTTGATTTTTAGCATGGTAGGGAAGCGAGAAACGAATAACTTTTGTGTAGGGCTGTGTGTGGTTCCACATTATTTTCATAAAACCATAAGAAAGTTTGATGCGCTTTTACCAGCTGAGTGTATAGTGTAAGGAGTCGTTCTCAGTAGTGCCCCTCCCCCCCCCCCCACATAAAAAAAGAAGAAAGGAAAACAAAAAGTCAGCAAATTATTGTCCACTCACGGTAAACTCCTACACAATTTACCAACAAACCCACACGCACTCGCAGATTTTAGCCTGGGAAAAACGAGCTTATTTGTGATTCATCGACACCACCATGTTGGGCTTTTTCAGGAATGACCATTCGGTGCTTGCCCATCGTGACGTAAAATTAGCAGGGTCGTGTAACGTTCAATGCATTTCGACAGCCATTTTAATGCATACGAGTTTACTGCAGTGCCATCCATTCAGCTGCAACAGATGCGAAAACGGTAACGGCAACTATCCAAGACGGCGGCAGTTAAACGCAATCGTATAAACACTTTATAACGTACGTAACAAACCCCGTCACGTCCCAGCGCGTGTGCTGCAGAATGTGCTGTGTTTATCTCTCTTCCCTCTCTCCTCTATATATTTCATCTCCCCATCCCACTCCCATGCGAAGGGTAGCAAACCGGCTGCCTATAGGCTGGTTAACCTCCCTGCCATTCTTTTCCTCCTATTTTCCATCCATCGCGTCCCAAGTTCAAGCATGTGTAGAGGTCAGAAGCGTGCAGTATAGGAGCATTCGAAGCTGAAGTGATATCGACTCACCCTTTTCGTCAGTTGAGTGTCCATCATAAAATTGTGCACGTGCTTTTCGGCTCGGGTGAGCTCCAGCTTGCGCGCTATCACAGCAACAACCAGGGCTGTACAACCGGCCCCCTGCGAATGTTCGGAAAGAGAGAGAACGAAATCAATAAACAGCCGTTGAAAAGGAAGAAAAAGAGCCTTGCTGCTGACATTGATTACTTATAACACAAACCACGCGGAAGTATAAATCAAGGCTTGCCCAATGCAATATGTATAGCCACGATATCAAACGATAATTCGTTCATGTGCGTTGCACCGAGAAGCGTGAAGACCCCGCCTCTCTTCGATGAAGTGGTTTGCAAGCGCCGTTTCTTTTTCGAAACAGGATATCGTGTTTTATGAATGAGAAAGATGTCGCCAGAGTTCAGAGGCTGTTGCACGACAGAAATCAATCGAGCGCACTCCAGTACGACCAGCTGGAATAGAATATTCATTAAACGGTGTGCATCCCCCCCCCCCCCCCCAAGGAAGATAAAGAAAAAAAAAGACGCTGAATACATAAATGAACTTTTGCGATTACCAATATAGGTTAAAGATGCTTACTTAAACGCCGAACAAAGTATCATAATTGGCAGCAGAAACATACATTTCCCGTACCTTGAGCTTGTTACTGTCCGTAGAAAAAAAATTCCACATCATATTTAGCATTCGCACACTCGCGCATTTCCGTTGCTATATTATAATGGTAAATTATGCTACAAATGTTCTATTTTCGTTCGTTCAACCGAAAAAGGTTTCTTAACAAATGTGTGCCCGGCATCATTGTTTGAAATCCAAGCCGGAATATCAACGCCGGAATACCTCAATGTCATGTTTCATAAATTTAGACGCAGCCTTTTTATTTATCGATACTATCTCATAAGACACACATGAAAAAAAAAATAATTGCCGCAGTCCCGTTAGTTTGAGTCTTACTTTAAAAATCAGTGTACCTATTTTTCACTGGTAATACTGCCACAACGCGAGGTTATCAAAGCCCCTGACGTCACAGCGAGATGGTACGAACACTGCACGGCGGCGTCGCCACCGGTCATTCACTGTCGCGCCTTTATTGGTTTATGAAACCTCGTTTCAGCATACGAGCCACATCTATTTTGTTATTTTCCTTTAAAATAGCGCGAATTAACGTTTACTAAGACGGAAGACATTAACACTACATTCGCCGTCATTGTATAAAACACGATGGCTTTATTAAAGCGGCCCTGAAACACTTTTTTTCAAGTAACCATGGAATGAATTCACTGGAAGAACTTATTGCCTCACGAATTCAACGCCATAAAAATTTAAGAAACCGTCCAGCACGAGTGGAGTTACAAATATTTGTCGCATGCTGCAATTGCATTCTCTCTTCTCTCGTCTCGACGAAAGCGCTGGAAGCTAAGCAAGAAGGGAAGGGCGGCGCAAACAAAAAAAAAAAAAAAAAAAAAACGTCACGCGCGCTTCGTGACCTTAAGCAGTTTTTTCTCTTTTTTTTTCTTCGAATGCGCGACTTCTTCAATGTGATCACGCGCACGCGCGTGGACAAGTCGCGCCCTCCCGCGGCGATCTCTGCAACGACTGAGAGCGCCATGTTCAAATCAGCCAATCGCTGATAGATGGGCTTTCTACGAGTTATTTTTGAGCGTCTTCCGCCATTTGTCGAGAGAAAAGAAAACAAATTTTAGCTCACTTCGATAATTTATTGCGAATTCCAGGCCGCATGCTGTGCAATAATAATTGGCTCGAGTGTTGTCGGGAGCCTGTACAACCAATCGGCAGCATTTTCTGACGATGCCCAAAGTTTTTGAGGGCCGCTTTTAAATGCACGAGGACCCAAGCTGTCGCGCCGACGACACGTCATTTAGAGCAGCAACGATCAACTTGTCGCGACAGCTTGTCGAACTCGAATGCCCTTTGTGTTCTGAACGCACTAAAAGAGGCAAAGACTATTTCTAGTCCATTCACTTAGTACGGCAGTGTCGTAAACACCACGCCATTTACACGATGAATCCCCGAGAGACACAAGAACGAGCAGTGTACCACTCGTACGAGTGCTCCCACCATCGAATACTTTTAGAAGAATGCCAAGTGGATGTATTTCGACGTGCAGGCGCCCAGAGGGCATTGACCCCGCGTGACCGTGTCCACCAACAAAGTAATTACAGGTAAAGCGAACGCGAACTCGTTAAAACGGTCGTTGCATCTCAACTGAGTGAAACAGCTCGGGGTACGACTCACTCAACGAAGACAAGCTCTCTATGTTGTTTTTGTACGTCTGTTATCACGCCGGGAAAGAATCATTCATCTGTATAGGCCCGGTCTACGGGGACGCGTTGTTTGAGATAAAGGACAATGTCCAACGTTTCTTCGCTCATTCACAATTGGTACAGTCTCTGCAGGGAAGCCTTGCGACACACCGTGTAAATAACGGCCGCGAAGAGCCTCGCGGCATTTATGGTCGATAAAAAAGTTGTTGACCTCGCCTCAGAGTGAGAGAGAAGGATGAAACGTTTTTACACTGCATCAAACGGAGCGCATACACACAAACACTTCATAGGCGTCCAGTATGCCCGGCATGCTTTACAGTGTGAGTCTGCCAATATATACAGTTTCGAAAGCTGGATGAACAGTTGCAAGCGCGTTCACTAGAGCCAGTCGGGACAATAAAAAAAAAAAAAAAACGCTGGTCAGCATCGGCGGAAAGACACATATACATGCAGACAGGGCTTTGAGTCTTTGTCCCCTCGCGGTGACATCGTCGAAATTGCGCCTGACGGGACTTCCCGACAGTCGCATTAGTAGATGCAAACGTACAGTGAAAGAAAAGCGTTGTGACTGGAGATCAAGAGAAACGAAGGAGAGAACAAAAAAGAAAGAGTGCGTTTAGAGAGAAAGTGACGAGTCTGATGCAGAGAACTTATGCGCGTGGTGTATTGGGCTTTAGCGGATACGACGTACGTAGTTCGTGTGTGGTTGTAGAAAAGGATGAAACTCGAACACTGCTGATTCGCTAAAAGTAGACAATGAACATTCGTCGCGGAAGCGCTGATACAGCGGATGCAGAATTCACACACTTGTGTTAGTAAGACCTTATTTGTCGACACTCAACCGTCTTCATTGCATGATTTCCCCTTCATGCCGACAAGACGGTACCCCTTTGTATACAGCCAAATGTGCCATGCGTATTTTTTGTGTGACTAGGAGAAAGCAAACTCAAAGAAAATAACCATTCAATGCGACATCTCAACTCAATAGCGAAAAAGAACAAACAAGACACCCGAGAAAGAGTCATTTGACTCTTGTTGGGGTGTTCTGGTTTATTAAAACTTGACTCTTTTTAAATAGACGCATAGGTATATTTGTTTATTTATTTATTTTTTGAATAGACGTACGTCCCTCGTCATTCCGAATAGGACGGAATGATCTCCAAAGAAAGGTCCCGTCTTTTTTTTTTTAAAAAGAAACATTAAAGAGAAAAATAGTTGTTTACTTATCCGCGTAGTTTACTCACTGACTATACCAAAGACACCACGCTCTCTGTGAGAATACGCCTAATATTAATTATCGGGTTTTGATGACTCGGAACCACCCTATGATTATGAGAGACGCCGTACAGTGGAGGACTCCGGGAATTCCGACCACTTGGGGTTCTTTAGGGTGCACCCAAATCTAAGCACACGGGCCTGCGACATTTTCCCTTCCATCGAGAATGCAGCCGCCACGGCCGGGATACGAACCCGCGACCTGCCAGTCAGCAGCCGAGCGCCTTATCTACTATAGACCACCGTGGCGGGTGTGAGAAGATGCTTGTTGAGCAAAACGCGCAAAAAGAAAAAAGCGCGTGGCGACGCCACTTTGAACTTCCCGCACCTGTCTCTGTGACGTGCCTGTTTGGATGGCATCTGCTAGGGAGTGAACGCGGCTCCTAATCGGTGTAAATGGAGTACATTGTTTTCTGAGGGAGCCGGAAACCTAATACACCAAGCTTCAGCAAATTTGACTGAGCCAATCAATCAATCAATCAATCAATCAATCAATCAATCAATCAATCAATCAATCAATCAATTTTATTTAGCTTATTTGAATACAATATAACATAGTAAAGTACTACATACGAAGCTACATGGTTTTAAGAAACATGAAAACAAAAAAGGGTATTTGACGTCCCCGGCGTCACAAATGAGGATATCGGTGGGATACCTAAGAGTGGTACTGTTATCGTTGATTTTCACAACTATTATACATCTGTGGTGGTAAAACTGACGAAACAAGAGTATTCATAGCAAAAGTAATTGTTCTAATCTCTGGTCTAATTTTATAGCTTATCTATAGCGTTCTTGTAAAGAAAGTCGTTTACGTTTATCAAGTGAAGAGGCAAAAAGGGCTTTTTTCTCTCTCTTACAGCGAAGGAAGACGCATTTGATTGGACAGAACAAGCGTGAGTCTAAAACAAAGTGAGCCGAAGAGACGATGTCGCAATAGGCGCACAAGCTGGTAACAGAAGTCCAGATAGAACTCAGATTCACAAGCAATGGACGGTATCCGATTTCATGAGTCGAATACAGATTCACTAAACGCGATGTAAGGTTACGCTCGCCTACATTGTCTAATCGCAGTAAGCTTGACCTGTGGTCAAGCTTACTGCGACCAGACAATGTAGGCGAGCGTAAGCGGACGCGACGTACTAGTTTCGGATAAGCCTCGTGTTCTGTCCCAAACGGGCGCTTTCGAACGAATTGGATCTGTCAGGAAAATAAACGAAGGAAGTGCACTAACATTGTGTGCAACGCGAGAGTGGGTAAAACAGCCGTAACAATCAGTAGGATGGGATCAATACAGCGATCCAAGCGAGTATATATATATATTATAACGTAGGTAGGTTAATCTAGTGAAAATTGTCGGTTTGCTATCCTGAGCAGGTGTGGCGAAACAGGGATTGTAAAGGAGACAGAGAAAGAGGAAGATAAAAGAAAATCAAAAACGAAATACACACCCCCACCCACCACACGCACGCACGCGCGCACGGACAGTCAAGTCAAAGCCGTTTTAAGCGACCACTTGAACGCAGAAAGCGCACTTGCACAGCAAGCTTT